ATATATATATATATATAATATATATAACAAAAATGTTTAGTTTTGCATGTTTTTGACATTTGTTTAGTTGAAATAATGTTTGATATTCTATGACTTGCTTTTCTCAACACAGATTCATCCATGTTGTTTTATTCGTTTGCAGTTCACTCTTTTTCACTGCATTATAGTAATACATTGTCTGAATATACCATATTAATTCACTGAAGTGTTGATGAACACAGGGTGTTTCCAGCTTCTAGCTTATCTGGAGTTTTTGGAACCAGCCTGACAACCTGTGTCTGTTAACTGGAAAGTTAAATCCATTCCCTTTTATTATGATTACTAACATATATGTGTTTATATCTACCATCTTATTCGGAGCTTTCTATTTGTTCCAGTTGGCTGTCTCTCCCATTTCCTGCCTTTATTTGGTTCCATTTTTCTCTCCTATTAGTTGGGCAATATTCTGTTGCTATCATAGGGGTAACCCTAGAAAGTTTAACATGTTTTAATTTAAAATCTTAAAATTAATCTGTGTTCCCCCAATAATATGAGGAAAACTTTTACTGTAATCTTCCTCCCAGCTTATTTTTGTCCATATTCTGTCATTTTTATTGTAACCTCAAAAATTAGACATTTTGAACAATACCATTTTTCTTGTGCATTACTTTTGTAATTAGACTTTTTTTCTCAAGGCTCTCCTTTCATTGGTATTCTGCAGTTTCACTATGATGTATCTAAGTGTGAATATTTTACTTATACTGGTTGGGTTTCATTGGACCTCCTGATCCTAAAAATGGCTTTTGTCTTGCATCAACTCTAGAAGATTATTTCTTTTGATATTTCTTCTTCCTGGTTCCTCCAGTTTTTGAATTTCCACTCTAGATAAACCTCCCTCCCTGTCATATTTTTTATCTTTGTCATCTGTGCTGGATTGCACTTGCAGTAATTTCTTCAGATCTGTCTTCCAGTTCATTAATTATCCCTTCAGCTGTGTCTAATTTGCTGTTAAACATCCATGGAATTTCATATTTCAATTATTTTTTTCATCTTTGGCAGTCTCATTCTTTTATTATACTTTCAATGCCCACTTATATTACTTAAACTTCATATTTTGTGTTTTGAATCTATCTTCTCCTGTTATAATTCTTGCCCAAGTTATCATCCATCACTTAATGCATAAATTAGTTTCTAAATTATTCTTTTTAACTATTCTTGATCCCTTATTCTCTCCTGTTTTCCATATAATAGAACTAGAGTAATCTTTTCAAAGTTAAATCTGACCAGGTTTTCCTCCCCTGATTAAAATTATGCGTTGTTCTTGGCCTAAAGACTAAATCCTTAAGGTGCTTTCATTATCTGTTACCTGCTTGCTGCATCAGCCTCATTTAATGCCAG